AAGAAGTTTAGATTTTACTACGGCTATGATAGAATGGAACCCTGCAAATTACTTTACCTGCGCAAGTTTAGCCTCGAGCTGCTTATGAATGTCCTGCGTGCCACAAATGAACCTGACTGACGATAGACCTGCTCCATGGCTAGCCAATGCCTCTTGTCCAGCTTTTATCACCTTTATAATGAAAAATGATAGAGATCTGTGATAACTAGGGGTGTTTCAGTCGGTGAACGCGACTTCGAACCTACTACGTGATCAAATGTAAATTTCAATGCGATAATCGAATTAGCATTATTTATTACTTCACACCTTAGGAAAAAGTCTAACCTCGGGATGGCTGCTGAGTCCGAGATAGTTGTTGGCGCAGAAATTAAGAACCGGTTTCGATTGTCCTTTCACATTAACCAAAACTCCTTGTGGTCCTACGATGACTCGTTCAGTTTTGTACGTGCCTGCTGCCTAAAAGGCGAAGTTCCAGTGGAAATAATTCTTCAGGTAAAAACTTAGAGAAAAAACCTATGCATTATGCAGAACCATAGGGCGCACATAATTTATGAGTCAGTTGGGAAGAACACTTATTTCCTTGAAGACACATTTCACGATTGACGATCAGTGACGTTGCCTTCCCCCCATGAGGAAGTGGACGGCGTGCAAGTTTTTGTGCCAGCTCCGCTGCTCAACTTGCGTAAAAATGACGCTAAAGGCCAGGCAGACTTTAACCCACTCGCGACCGCGCGGGATTTTCAAGGTCTGCCCGTTCGGACCAGCGCCGGATTGCGCAATAGCAGGAGAGTCAGGAGATTTTTCTTCAATAAAATTTGAGTGGATGGAGATTTCCTCTGCCCAGGGCTGGCGTAGATGAATGAGGGTATGAAGATTCTTTTCAGGAAGAAAACTTTCCAAATTCCATTTGAAACCGGCAGCCACCGGTGGATGCCATTGTCCCGAGTGAGATCTTTGGCAGCCACCGGTGGATGCCATTGTCCAAGTGAGCACCTTCGTGGCAGCCACCGGTGACTGCCATTGTCACAACTTTACAACTAGGAGGTCCCAGGTCTTTTTCCGATGGTTTATTTGTCCCGTAGAGAGCGGAGCCAAGAGGGTGAACAGCTTTGAGAACTTGATACTAATATTTATGGTTAGGGTAGGGAAGGGATCCTGGGAGACGTGAACAGCCCCTGATCGCCCTGTTTCACCTCTCTCCGAGGCTTAGCCCTAGCGCCACCTATCGCGGTTTTGAATGCCATGTTTTGAATGTCCCTTCCCTCCGCCCTAAGGCTATGATCGTTTACTGTTGCATTTTCCAATTGTAGGCACCTTTGGTTTCACGTTCATATCACACTAGATATAGCTGCTGTCTTGAATTGGCTTGCAATTAGGCCCCAAATCTTATTCTCGATGTCAAATTCCCTGAACAACTTGAAAAGTATTAGAGCAGCTTTCAAGCGCCGAAGGGAGTGAGCAAGCATAGAGCAAGGACAAAATCTGC